GAGAACTACAACCAGGTAGGATTTATACCTGGAATGCAGGGCTGGTTCAGTATTAGGAAAACTATCAGCATAATTGATCATATCAACAACAAAACTAACAGAAACCACACGACTATCTCAACAGATAGAGAAAAAGCTTTTGACAAAATACAACACCCATTCCTATTAAAAACACCAGAGAACACAGGAATAAATGGAGTCTTCCTTAAAATGATAAGTAGCATCTGTCTAAAATCTTCAGCAAGCATTATATGTAATGAGGAATAATCTATTTCCAATAAGATCAGGGGTGAAACAAGGATGTCCATTATCTGAACTGTCCATTATATGAACTGTTGTTCAATATGGTACTAGAAACATTAGCTTTAGCAATAAAAGAAGAAAAAGAAATTGAAGGTATTAGAATAGGTAAAGAAGAAACAAAGCTATCACTCTTTGCAGATGATATGATGATATACTTAGAGAATCCTAGAGAATTAATTAAAAAACTGCTTGAAATAATAAACAACTTCAGCAAAGTTGCAGGTTATAAAATAAACCTACATAAATCATTGGCATTTCTATATATTACCAATAAAGCCCAACAGCAAGAGATAGAAAGAGAAATTCCATTTAAAGTTACTGTAGACATTATAAAATATTTAGGAGTCTACCTGTTGAAACAAACCCAGGAACTATATGAACACAATTACAAAACGCTTTTCACACAATTAAAGTGAGATCTAAATAACTGGAAAAACATCAGTTGCTCATGGGTAGGCTGAGCTAATATAATAAAAATGACAATTCTACCTAAGTTAATTCACTTATTCAGTGCCATACCAATCAAACTAACAAAAATTACTTTATAGAGGTAGAAAAAATAATAAGATTCATTTGGAAGAACAAAAGGTCCAGAATATCAAGGGAACTAATGAAAAGAAATGCTAGGGAAGGTGGTCTAGCTGTTCCAGATCTTAAATTGTATTATAAAGCAGCAATCATCAAAACTACTTGGTACTAGCTAAGATATAGAGTAATAGATGAGTGGAATAGGTTAGGTATGCAAGACACAGTAGTCAATAACTACAGTAATCTATTGTTTGAAACCCAAAGATCCCAGCTTCCAGGATAAGAACTCACTATTTGACAAAAACTGCTGGGAAAACTGGAAAAGATTATGGCAAAAACTAGGCACAGACCAAAATCTTACACCATATGCCAAAATAAAATCAAAATGGAGACACGATTTAGATATAAAGGCTGATACCATAAGCAAACTGGGAGAGCAAGGAATAGTTTACCTGTCAGATTTATGGAGAACAGAAGAATTTATGACCAAGCAAGAGACAGAGAATATTATGAAATCCAAAATGGATAATTTTGATTACATTAAATTGAAAAGTTTTTGCAAAACAAAGCCAATGCAACCAAGATTAGAAGGAAGGAGAAAACTGGGAATGAATTTTACAACCACTGTCTCTGAAAAGGGCCTCATTTCTAAAATACATAGAGAACTGAGTCAAATTTATAAGAATAAATGTCATTCCCCAATTGATAAATGGTCAAAAGATATGAACAGGCAGTTTTCAGATGAAGAAATTAAAGCCATCTATAGTCATATGAAAAAATGCTCTAAATCACTATTGATTAGAGAAATGCAAATCAAAACAACTCTGAGGTACCACATCACACCTATCAGATTGGCTAACATGACAAAACAGGAAAACGATAAATGTTGGAGAAGATGCAGGAAAATTGGAACACTAATGCATTGCTGATGGAGTTGTGAACTGATCCAACCATTCTGGAAAGCAATTTGGAACCATGCCCAAAGGGCTATAAAAATGTGCATACTCTTTGACCCAGTAATAGCACTTCTAGGGCTATATACCAAAGAGATCCTACAAATGGGGAAAGGACCCACCTGTACAAAAATATTTATAGCAGCTCTTTCTGTGGTGGCAAAGAACTAGAAATTGATGGCATGCCTATCATTTGGGGAATGGCTGAACAAGTTGTGGTATATGAATGTAATGGAATACTATTGTGCTATAAGAAATGATGAGCAGACTGACTTCAGAAAAATCTGGAAAGACCTGTATGGACTGCTGCTGAGTGAAGAGAGCAGAACCAGGAGAATGATGTACATAGTAACAGCAATGTTGTGCGATGACTAACTTTGATAGACTTATCTCTTCTTAGCAATGCAAGGATCTAAGACCTCTCCAAAGGTCTCTTGATGGAAAATACTATCCACATCCAAAGAAAGAACTATGTAGTTTGAATGCAGATTGAAGCATGCTATTTGCTATTTTTTTCTTCTGTTTTGTTTTGTTTCCTCTTTCTGGTGGTTCCTCCTATTGGTTCTAATTCTTCCTTACAACATGACTAATGTGAAAATATGTTTCATAGGAATGTATATGTATGGTCTATATCAGATTGCACACTGTCTTGGGGAAGGAGGTGGGGAGAGAGGGGGAGAAAAATTTAAAGCTCAAAAGCTTATGGAAGCGATTGTTGAAAACTATAAACAAATTAATTTAAAAGGCAGTAATATGAGCGATTATTTTAACAAGAGAGCTTTAATTTCCCTTCAATTACAAACTTTTCCAACTCTTACCTAAGTGAATCATATGTGCAGAGTGCTGATAATTCTGGAATAAACAAAGAGTTTGCTTTCAGCAATTAGAACCATTCCAGTAACAATCCCTGGGTTTTAATTCTCAGTTCTGTTTTGAACTCCACAACAACTGTTTATAAATTCTTTATAAATCTCAGTTTTCCCATTTCTAGTAATAAGAAACAAAGGGTGTGTGTGTATGATTAATAATTCTTGTTCCTACTGAGTTCCAGTCTCATACCATCAACTACCTGTTGGACATCTCAAATGCAACTTGTCTAATATAATTCATCCTTCCTCACAAAAAACTTCCCTATTATTATTATTGGCAAAGGTACTACCATTCTTCTAGTTATCCAGGTGAAAAAACTTGATGCTACACTTGGGGGTCCTTTTCCTCATCCACCCCACATATCTAATCAGCTGCCTAATTATAATTTCTTTCTCTATCACATTATATCTTCCTCTCTCTACTCACACTGCCACTCTCGTAGTTATAGCCCTCATCATTTCTTGCCTTAACTATTATAATAGCCTTCTTATTGGTCCTTCTGCCTCAAGTCTCTTCCCAATCTAATCCATCTTCCATTCAAGGAGCCAAAGTGATTTTCCTAAAGCATAGGTCTAGCCATGTCATACCCCACTGCATAAACTCCAATGGCTCCTTATTACCTCTTTTATTTATTGCCTTTTGTTTGGCATTTAAATCTCTTCACAACTTGGCCCTCTCCCACCTTTTCGATCTTCCTACATTCTACTGCCCTCCATGTACTCTAAGATCTATACTATCCTACTCACTTGTTCCTTGCACATGACATTCCATCTTTTGTCTCCATGGCTTTGCTTTGGTTGATGCCCATGCCTGGAATACTCACCCTCCCAAACTTTCATACTTTCTGACTTCTTTATGCACCACTTCATCCAGGAAGCCTCTCCAGGCTCCTCTAGTTGCTAGTGTCATCTTCTTTAAGGTCACCTTCCATCTACTTCATATTTATCCTGTATATTCCAATTTACATATGTTGCCTTCCTCATATGAACATAAGCTCCTTGAAGGTAAAGGCTATTTTTTACATTGTATTTTGAGTTCTTTGAACAGTGCCTAGCTCATAGTAAGTGCTTAATAAATGCTTGTAGATTAATCAATTACAAAGGAATTAGGAAGACAAATGGGTTGATATTTTTATACTGCTTTGAAATCACCAGATAAATGAGGCTTATTAAAGGGCTATCTACAAACATATATAAAGCAAATTAGTATTTCCCAGAAAAGATTGTTTAAGCACACTCCGGTCACTTCCACATTATAGCAACTCTTTGGGAGATTTGGAAATTATCAGAAGATTTCAGCTATCTCTTAAAATTAATTTGGTCTAAAGATAAAATATTTTAATAGGAGGTAGTCTCTAGAGGTAAAGTCTCCAGAGAAGTTAAGACTAGAGAAGAAAAGTCAAAGGTGAATTCCCTGAACCCACATGTTACTGCTTCCTTTAAACCTCACAAACATCATTTGGCCAATAGCTTTCAGGATTCCCATCTGATTCCTATATCACATCCATGTATTCTCATGTAGCAGTAAACCATGCTATGTAGCAAGGATGAACCTGACAAGTTTAATTTCACTCACTGATTTTCCATGCCTTATTCCACAGTGTGGGAAATGTTGATATATTTGACTCCACACCATGTATCTAGGTCAAGATAACAAAGTATCTATTAAATGTCCAGTAAAGGACATTTGTAATGATTTTTTTTTGCATTTATCAGTTAGAAGGACCCATTTTAGGGAAAATTATAGTTCATATAATTCTGTATCTGGAGTATTTAATTTAAAAAAGAGATTGCTTAAAAATGTAGCATTGCAGATGGGGCTCGTAGGACCCCCCAAATCATATGTGCATATTGAAAATGACATAATCTGCTCAATTTTAATGGAAATTAGGTACAGTGCTTAGACCCTTAGACTAGGGAAACCATTGTGACTTTCACTCAAGCAGAGTTCTATGACAAAAACTTCTGAATTAAGTACTCCTTTTAAAAAAGAGAAACTAAATGGCTAGCAACATTGATTTGCTGATATAAATTATAGCTAATAAAACAGTATTAAACTGTAAATTAAAAGGATAGAGAAAAGGCAAAGCATGTTATTTGCAGATGGTGGTAGTAGAGAAGTCTCTAGATTAAGAAATTATTCACTAATAGACTTCTCCTAGATATTCTTGCAATATCCTCCTACCTTTATAAATATCTGTTCACAATTTAGTATTTAGATTTGTTCTATTCTTTTGTTCTATTTTATTTGTCCAGTTCATAACAGATAAGTAGATAAGAAGATACTGACCTAATGGAACACAACTTCTACGAATTTAGGGGAACAGAAACACTGGATTATCGTTACCTGATTATTTGATGGTTTGGCTGTCCCTTGGTTTCATGGCTCAATCTCCTCAGATGGTACTTTCTCTACTGATTTCTTCTTCTCCAAAGATGCACTTTTCTCCAAGGAATCCTTTTCTGTAGACTGCTTCCTTTCTGCAGATGGCTTCCTCTCCATAGACAGCTTCCCTTCTGCAGATGGCTTCTTCTCCAGGGAACCATTTGTCTGCTGTGAATCCTGTTGGTTGACATCCTCTATGACTTGTTCAGCTCCTGTTCCCAATGATTCTTTCCTTTCTTTGTCATTCTCATCAGGGATACTCTTTGACTCTTTAACTCCAAGCTGTTCAAACATTTTCAACCTATTTTCAACCACGTCACGAATCATCACTACAAAGAAAAAATATGGATGAAAGATGCTATAAGTAGACATGATAGAGGTTTTGCATTTTCAATATTAATAAACAAAAAGTTTACCAGCACCTCTCTCCCCCAACTACAATGTACTCCACTTTATTATGAAAAACAGTCTATCATAAGGATATTAAATAAAAGTAATATTTTTTACTATTGGTCCTTACTAGTCCAAATCATAAGATCACAGAATTTGAACTAGGAGAGACCTTAGAGACCACATGCAATTATATATAAAGGTATTTAGACCTAAATATAATACTGAATTTTATTAAGATGAATCTAAAATTTTTTTCTGAAGGAAATGCTGAGTTTGTTTTGCTTAGTACTAATACTTCCCTTAATCCATCTTTCCCTTTACTATTTCCCTTTCTCCCCTTTCCTTCCTATTTCCTCGTTGAGAGGAATCTGTGTGTGTGTGTGTGTGTGCTTCTCTTCTTCTTTGGACAGTTCAAATGAGAGTAAGGTTTGTATCAGCTGCTCCCCTTTCCTCCTTGCCTCTACTTGTGTACACTAATTCTGTAAGATAATTTCCCCTAACCTTCTTCTTCTTCTTTTTTAATCTTTTGTTTTGTTTTGGTTTGATTTTTTGGTAAGGCAGTTGGGGTTAGGTGACTTGCCCAGGGTCACATGGCTAGTAAGTGTCAAGTGATCTTGACAATATGATCTGAGGCCGTATTTGAACTCAGGTCCTCCTGACTCCAGGCCTGGTGATCTATCCATTGTGCCACCTAGCTGCCCCCTAATCTTCTTTGAGCTTACACCCTTCTCCCCCTTCCCCACCCAGTATTATTCCTCTCCCCCTCCTTGTCCATTCTTAAGGTCATTAACTCATAATAGAACCACTCCCAGGCCTTCTGTCTAATTAGACTCCCTCTACAATGAACCCTGAGGATGATCAGAGTTGGATACAGGTATCGCCTTCCCATATTAAAAAGTAAGCAGTTTATCCTTGGTCAGTCTTTTATCATTATTTGTTTGTGTAACCTTTTAATGTTTCTCTTAACTCCTGTATTTGAACTTCAAGGTTTTTACTTAGCTCTGGTCTTTCGTTAGGAACACTTGGAAATCCTATATTTCATATAAGGTCCATTTCTCATCCCCACCTCCATAACTATATTCAGTTTTTCTAAGTAAGTTAATCTTGCCTAGAAGTCTACACATACTCTTCCTTCTGGAATATCATATTCCAAGCTTTTTGTGAGGGAATTATGGGAATTGAGTAAACTACAGTGACTCCATCTTGTGACTCAATTCTGGATCTAGCTCAGTTCCTTTTCTATTCAATCATGGGTCTAGTTCAATTTCTGTCTTGTGAGAAAACTTTGCTCAATTATGGGAACTGACAGAAAACTTGATTGTATTGTTTAAACCTACCCCTGCGTGGCTGGGACTCTGGACCATCTCAGCCTATTGCTTGGAGACCTTTAAGGACTTAGGTTATGATGACCAGAAACCCAGTCAGATCCAAAGATGGATCCAAGGAGTTTTCTCACAATTATACATCTCAATCAACCCATATGTCTTATCTGAAAACTGGCCCCATATCGACCAATCAGTTATTGTTCCATTCTCTTCTGACCGAATACAGGCACTTGCAAAGAGGGGGACAGCTCTTTTTCTGATTTTAGGGAACTGCATCTACTCGCTCTCCCCCCTCCCAATACTCACTCATTCCCTCTCCCAACTCAGAAAGCCCGTAATCTTTCCTCCAGTTAGAACTCAGATTACCTAATCTTGTATCCTGGTTTATATCCTACTAATTGTTTATTTTTAATGCATAAATATCTGTCTTCTCCTGTATTTGGGGTCCACTGCCAAGCTGAGGAGGCTTTAATAAAATTCAATATTCCCATACTGACTTATAGCCAATTCCAATGGTTACGCAATTCGCTTGCAATGCTTAATAAATGGGTATACTAGGAAGCTCGAAACTTTGTTTCCTTAGTCATTTCAGATTTCACCCATCACGTCTGCTCCTTTATAGTAGAGGTTGTTAAATCATGTGTGATTCTGACTGTGGCTCCTTAGTACTTGGATTTTTTTCTTTTTGGATACTTATAGGATTTTTTTCTTTGACCTAGAAGTTCTGGATTTTAGCTTTATTGTTTCTTTGAGTTTTCATTCTGGGCTTTCTTTCTGGAGGTGCCCATTGGATTTTTTCTATTTCCACTTTGCTCTCTGGTTCTAAGAGATCTGGGAAGTTTTCTCTTAGGATTTCTTGAAATATGTCTAGGATCTTTTTTTGGTCATTGTTTTCAGGTAGTCCAATGAGTCTTAAATTTTTTCTCCTCAATTTATTTTCCAGGTCATTTGTTTTTGCTATAAGATGCCTTAAATTTTTTTTTCATCTTTTGACTTTGTTTTAATATTTCTTTTTATGACATGGAATCATTGACTTCTATTTGGTCCATTCTAATTGTCAGAGTTTTTTGCTTGACCAAGGTTTTATATCTCTCATCTTAAACTGTCCATTACCTTTCCAATTCTTTTTTCCATAGCTCTCACTTCTTTTCAAATGTTTCCTCTAGCTCTCTTTATTAAGGAAAACACTTTAAACTTTTTAAAGAAAATTTTTGCTCCACTTCTTTCAAGAATTCTAGCTGAATGTACATACAAGCTGTGTTTTTCTTTGAAGCTTTTCTTGTAGATGTTTTGGGATCATTTTCTTCTTTTGGGTTTATGTCTGGAGTAACCTGTCACCATAATAGCTTTTTGATACTGGGATTCTTTATTTCTTTGCTCATTCTTCCAGCTTACTTCCTAACTTCAGGCTGTGTTTGGGCCAGGCCTGAGCAATTCTGGAGGTGAGTTCTGGGACGGTCTGTGGTTGCTTTCTTGGGGTAATGAGTGTAGTATTATTTCAGTTTCTTAAAGACAGTTCAGGTTGGGGACCTGAAAACTTTCAGTATTCTCAAAGTGTTCTGATCTGAGGCAAAGTCCAAAACAAAGGAATCACTACTCCCTCAGTCTGAGCTTTGCAAGTGTCTGACCTGGGTTTGGTTCTGAGCAACAGCAGACTGCTGCTTGAGTCAGCTACTACCATCCAGCTGTGACGCTCTAGAGGTTCAGAGGGATAGAACTGCAAGCTTCCCTTCACTCTTGGATTCCTGCCCTGGTTATTCTTCTGCAGGATTCTGACTGGGCTAGAAGTTGGAACTAAGACTCTGGTCTGCTTCTGAAGGAATGAGCTACACAGCTGCTGCTTCTGAACATGTACCCCTCAGCACACTGCTTAGGGCCAAACAAAAATAACTTACTGTCAAGTACTACTCTTCCCACCGTTTGGTATTCCATTGTCTTATCTACTTCATGCATCAACCAGGGTAGAAATCCAATCTCAATATCTGTAAGACAAGAAAAATAAATTCTAAAAATGCAATTTGAAAAATCAATCATTCCTAGAAGACAGGAGAATCTGTGTTTTTTCTAATATAGGAGTATATAGTCACCTACAATAATGAAAGTTTCCTTAAGACAGTAAGGTTAAGCAACTGAAGAGAGAATAAATACCTTTTGCCTTTTAGGTGAAGAATACTCTGGTCAGTTTTTTTTCTGTTACACAAATCAAACTTACTCAAATATGAAATTAGACTTAAGGAATATAGAATTTTAGAGCTGTCAGGGATCTTTAACAAACATCTAAACCCTGGGGTTCTTAATCTTTTTTTTGTGTCATGGATTTCTTTGGCAGTCTGGTAAAACCTACAGTCCTCTTCTCAGAGTAACATTTAAAAATGCATAAATAAGATTACAAAGGAAATAAAATTTGTTAAAAAAAAACCCCAGCTACTAAAATATTTTCCCATCCACATTCATGGAACCCTTGAAGTCTGGGTGTCTATGCAACCCCGCTTAAGAAGCCCTGATCCAGCTCAATGCTCTTACTTTATTGTTGTTGTTGAGAAGTTTTTCAGTTGTGTCTGAACTCTTCATGACCCCATTTTGGATTTCCTTGGCAGAGATACTGGAGTGGTTTGCCATTTCCTTCTCTAGCTCATTTTACAGATGAGGAAACTGAGGCAAAGATGATTAAGTGACTCGCCCAGGGTCACACACAGCTAGGAAGTGTCTGAGGTCAGATTTAAACTTAGGTCTTCCTGACTCCTGCTCTCTGTCCATTAAGCTGTCCCATTCTTACTCTATAGATGAGTAAATAGACTCAAAATAAGACTAGGCAGGTTTTATTTTCTTTATCTTACCTGCCTCTCACATTGTTGTGCATAGTTCTTTGTATAGCAAAACTCACTTAGGAAAAATGTATGCTTTAGGGTATTTTTTCTTTTTTTAAAGTGTTTTGTTGATTCTTTAAAAGAAAACAAAATCTGTTATTTCCCAGCAATTCCCTGCCTGTCAGTTACATCACTCAAAAGAACACTGCTTTAGAACAAAGCATGGTTAAACAAAAACAAAACCAACAAAAACAGAATGGTAAGGCTATTTTTCCAAGGATGGTAACAGACACGAACTAGGGGTTACACAAGGCCCATTCCAACTTAAGACTATGATTCTTGTGTATGTATTTTTACTAAGAAATCACTATGGTGTCATCCTCTTAATCCTATCAGCCAAATAGGCAGGACTGCTAATCAAAATTCGGCACATTAAACACAACTGAATTGGGGAAGGAAGGCAATGAAAGAATATAATTTATTTAAACTTATTTCTCATTGTCCAGACTAGACTGAAAGGGTGGAGTTTTTCTGATCTTGAGGTACATGTGGTATCTGTCCAACCAGCCTTTTGGACTGGATTAGAAAGCGGGACTTTAAAAAAAAAAAAAAAAGACAAGTCTGGAAAATAGCAACATCAAAAAATGGTCAGTTCACTTTTGTTTTAAAACAAGGTCACAGAATCATAGGACAGTAGAGTCAGAAGGGATCCTATAGACCATCCAGGCCAGCACCCTCCCATTTTATAGATGAGGAAACTGTGGCTCAAAGACATTAAGTGACTTGTCTATGATCGCCCAGATAACTGTTCCTGGAGTCAAGACCTGACTTAGTAATGACAAACAGGAAGTACAGTGATTCCTTATGCTCTATGCCACTGGTGTAATTTCCTATACTTTTCTGGAGGAATACCGGAGTGTTTAGCAAGGGAGAGTTTATATAGATAAGAATTCTGTTTGAGTTAAAAGCTATTTGATCACATTAAAACCTAAACTATCAGGAAAAACAGTCTTCTGGCACTCTCAGGTGTTTAAAACAGCTCTGAAATCCTAAAACAGGTCGTGGGCAGTGGAAGCTGGCATGGGATGGGGATGGGGCAGGAAATTTTGGTAGCAAAGTAGGTCCTGGACAGCAAACAACAAAGAAATCATCATCAAAGAATTGAAGACCCAAAGATTATATCTTACATCTTATAAACAGTAAAAATGAGAAAGAAAGCTTTTGTTAGTCTTTTCACTGAAAGTTGAGAAATGCAGGAGAATTAACATAAGACAAAAAAGGAAAAGTAAAGAGAAGAGGAAAGAGAACACTGAAGATTAGAAACACTGGTAGCCATGGCTGAAATAAGAAGTAGAAGCAGTAAGAAACAGACACTATGGTAAGAAAAAAAGAGTTGACTCTGAAGAGAAGATGGAATATCTCTAAAATGAAGCTTGACTTTTCTCACCTGTAAAATTAGAGGGGAGAATACATTTAAGGTCTCTTCCACCATAACAAGAAAGCAAAACAAAAAGAAAAACAAACAAAATCTAGAGGACTTAAGTAACTAGTCAAAAGGTAGCTAAATAGGAAGTCCTGAATTGTACTTATCTTTGGCTTTCAAGGTTCTGTCCTTTTCTTGTTCGGTTCAATGTCTAATCAACTAAAGAGGAATTGAAAAACCCAAAGCTGGGAGAAATAGCTAATAACAGATGATAGAATCGGGATCCAAAAAGATCTGCTCAACTTCGTGAGAAAGCTATTCACCTCTTCCCTATCCACTGCCTCTTCAGTCCCTTGCAACTGGGCTTTGACACTCCAATGTTGCATTGAAACTATTCTCATATATTAGCAATAACTGCATAATCAACAAGTCTACTGGCCATTTTCAGTAGTAATCCTCTCTGAGCAACTTTTTGCCCTTCCATCACCTCCTACTCTTGGGTATTCTCTCCTCCCTTAGCTTCAGAGACGTCACTTTTTTTTTTGGTTTTCCTCTTTCTTTAAGCACTCTGTCTTTCACTCATCTACTGATCGATTAATGTGGAAGTTTCTCAAGGGAATGTTCTTAGCTTCTTCTCTCTCCATCTGAGAGAGGTCACGTTAGACCTTTCCCTCTTCTCATCCCCCAATCACCTCACCAAAAAAAAAAAAAAATCATCTTTCTAAAGTCCAGGTCCAATTACTTCACTCTCCTACTGAAAACACCTAGAGTTTCAGTGCTCTCCAGGATGAAATATAAATTCTGTAGTCTACCACTGAAGGGCCTTCACATGCTCTCTCCCATATATCTTACTAGCCTTATTTCACATTATTTCCCTTGACACATTATATGTTTAAATTAAACTGAACCAGTAGCTACTTTTTGCCATCAACACACTACCCTTCACATTTCTATGTATTTGCAGATAAGACAAAATTGGGAGGAATAATTAATTCAGTGGGTGACAGAAGGAGGATTAACAAATATCTTGACAGGCTAGAAAAGTGAACCAAATTTAATAATGAAATTCAATATGGATAAATGAAAACTGTTACATTTAACAACTTCCCAAGTACAGAGAAGCATGACTATTCATCAGTCTATAAAAGATCTGGGGTTATAACTACCTTACAAACTCAATATAATTTGTGTGAGATGGTAGTTAAAAATTTGCATTGAAAGAGGCATAGGGTACAGGACTAGGGAAATTATAGTTTCCCTGTACTCTTTCCTAATCACATCCCACTTGGAGTATTGAGTATTAGGCAACACATTTTTGAAAGGACACTGATAAGCTGGGGACAGTTAAGAGGAGAACAACAAGTATGGTGAAAGATATGGATTGCCATATCATTAAAGAAACAAAGGATAGTTAGCCTGGCCACCAGAATGCTTAGTGAGGACAAAGGAGCTACCTTCAAGTATCTGAAGGCCTATCTTACAGCAAAGAGAACAGACTTGTTCTGTCTGGTCCCAAAGGGCAGAAGTAGGAACGTGTGGAAGTTGCAGAGGCTCAACCTTAAACTTGAGGGCACAACAAAAGTTCTCTAAAGTGAACTCTGGAGGCCATGAGTTCTCTGGACCAGATGATTTCAATCCAAAGCTGCGTGGACCAATCACACTGCAGGAGAATGTTGTAGAAGAGATTCTTGCGCAGGACCCGATGGCTTCAGAAGTCCCTTCTACCAATTTTGAAAGAGGAGGTGACCTGAACGAGTCAGTAGATCAAAGACAGAGAGCTAATGCAGAGGGAGATATTGAAGGGTGAAAGGAGGTAGAGAAGGAGAAATGAAACATAGTCCTAAAGTCAGTCATGAGGAAATGGGATCAAAGGCATAGCTGTTAGACAGTTAACCTTGCAAAGAACAATGCTATCTTTTCCTCTGAGAAATAACACAAATGAATGAAAAAGCATTTATTCAATGCATACCTTATGCTAGTCACTGTGCTAAAAAGACTAAGGATACAAATAAGACAACACTTGCAAAAATCAACACTGATTCATCAAGGTCAGCTAAAAACCCATTTTTTTTTTCCAAAATGAAAAGGGTATAAAGATGAAATTAATTTATTGTGCCAAGAGTACTATACACAAATTATTACATAATATTACTGAAAATTAGTGCTATTTGGGAGCTAACATATCAAAACACAGAACTGCAACAAACCTCTTTCTATAGGATCATAGAAATAACCATTATCTCTGAGATTGCCAAAGACAGATGGAAGGAGGTCAGCCAAGTAAATCTTAGCATATGCTCGAGCTGCAATTTTCTGTGAAGTCTCATTCTGTTTGTGTAATACTGCTAGTTGTTGCTGTCTGCGACGTTCCTGCCAAAAAAATAAAAATACTAATGAAAACTTGTGTTTACATAGTGTTTCAAGGTATACCAACAAGACTATTGTCATGAAATTTATTCTCTTAACTTTTATTGCTGCTCCAAATATAGAACCTGGTGAAGAAAATGTACTGAAGTTGTTGAGGCCCTACTTTTATCAAATAGAAAGTAGGGTATCTGTTTGTTGAATGTTCATATTTCTTATTAATGCTATCATATACAGCATATGTAATCGTTATTTCAACCTGGCCTACCTACTTTACACGAGCATGCAATATAAAATTTTAAAATGAGACTCATTACTCATGCAGCATCCAAGTATATTGGGTACTATTCTCCTCTTCACATAGGGGAGAACACTGGCAGTAAGCTTTATTCAGTAGAAGGGGTAAAAGGTCTCATTCTATTTCCATTTTCTAGTTATAACAAAGACTAAAGAAACAGTACTGTTAGTTACTTGAAGTGGTGCTTCATGTATCTTCATCTTTAGGACATGTCCTATTTATATTCAATGATGACTATTTTAATAGTCATTACCACATGCTTTCTGTGTGTATAGAAAAAAAGTCCTACAAAGATAAAAGGAGGATGGGAAACATGGCCCAAATAATCACAGGTGGAAATAATGCTCTGTTCACTATCCCTGCCTCATTTTAAGGCTTGTGACCAGGGTTTTCCTTGAATGTTGAGCTAGTTGACAACATACACAATGGTCCAACAAAATAGTACTAGAGTACTGTTCAATAAGTTATCGATTCAGTGCACTTAGGAAGTTATAGTTTCTGGTGGTCTGAAAAAGGTAATGAAGCTTCCAAGTGTATATCACCAGAATAGCCTAAGCAGTAGGAGAATATGATTTATTTATAAGGATCTAACAAATAACATTAAAATACTTCAAGTTATACCAAACAGAATATACAAGAAATAGATTATTTAACAAATAATATTACAAACAAAGCTTACAGAATAGGGGTCAATATATCTGATAAAGACATAGTTGCTAGTGCTTCACAGTCTCTACCGAAGCACTGACTAGGAGACATTATGGTCACACATTCAATGTCTTGGATTTTCTTTTTTGTGGAATCCAAGGCTAAATTAGAACTATATAGAAACTCAATTCAGGAATCCTATAAAAGGAATCTTCATTTTATAATGAAGTTCACAAAGGGCACTGTGGTCTAAGTGTAGGGGAGTGAGCTGGCCAGTAAGTATCCCAGGCTCTTTCTTTCTTCAACCAGTCTTCAAATATTTCCAGTTAATACAAGAATCCCCAAGTAATCTGACGCACAACAGCAGAAGGTAGGAACAACAAAGGGAGAGCCAAAGGCCACCACACCTTCTCCTTCTGGTGGCGCCTCTCCTGTTCTTCGAGCCGCTGGACTTCTGCAAGTTCCAGATTCCGTAATTCTTCGAACCGCTGTTGATGCATCCGTAGTTCAGCCAATTCTTCTTCTTCCAGGACTTCCAGCAAAGCTTGTTCAATGGTCTTTCCCACCAAGACTTCCAACATCGGCTTGACTTCGATGTCAAAGTTAAACAGCTTAGGAAACCGAAAGAAATTCGCTGTTAGCTTCACAAGTTCCAACCTTCATATAGCAGAACTATTCTATTCGCAGATACTTGAGATATGAACCTATCACAGGTAAGTTAAATCCACACAGAGATGCATGATAACATTTAAAACCTTTAAGATGTAATTATGTAATTCAAGGAAAAACATCTTCATTTTAATATTGCTCTCTCTGAGAGATCCTCACATCTTATTAGTAGCAGGGATGAAAAAAAACCTCAGCAATGTCTAGTAGTGAATGCCCAAGTGGTTGGCTTGCTAATCTCCTCTGTATGCCTATACTCTGAAATCTTTAACTTTACCTCTCCTATTTTCTTAATAGTAGTTGTTTGGGGTTTCTTTCCCCAAGGGTGCATTCAACCCCCTCAAAGTCATCATATTTACGCATTGCAAAAGAATGTGAACACTGCAATGACTTTAAGATCCTTCTTAAACTATACGGGATTATTCTAATTGCAAATCTAGCTTCACTTGCATCTTTAGTGCAGAATGTTCTTCCTTATTTATTACTAGACTAAATTTAGTACCTCACTAAAATTTTAGAAAATTATGCTAAGACCATTTTTGAAAATAGAGGTTTTTGAATGTCATCGAAATCAAATCAAAACCACATAGTGGAAGCCATTTCTAGGCATGCCTGGATCAGACAGCTCTAGATAATCTGAGGAATGAAATCCAGCATATTGTATGTTTCGGTATAAGAACTATTACTTGTAAAGTGTCTACACTTGCCTCCAAACTTCCCCCTTCCTGTCAGGGGCCCACCATCTTGCCAGTCAGTGACGTCTGCAGCCTCACTGTCATCCTTGTCTCCTTACACTCACCTCACATATCCACTCCTCTTAGCTGCTAAAATGATTCTCCTCAACGTAGGTCTCCCTCCCCCTTCTCCTTTGTTGAGTACTCTGGTGATCACCTATTACATGCACTGAGCACGTTGTCTGGCATGTAGTAATCAAATACAAGTCCTTTGGTTGGCATTTACAACCTTGGCCCTTTGCTAATTTTCCAATCTTATTCTACTTATTCTGTTCCTTGGATTTTATGATCCAGCTACAATGGCCTACTTATAATTCCTCACAGACATTCCATCTCCCAGCTAGACTTACATTTTTGGATGTGGCCAACGAGGCATGTAGGAAGCACAGTAGATAGAGTGCTGGACTTGGGGTCAAGAAGACCTGAGTTCAAATCCTGCCTCAAATATTTACTACTTGGGTGACTTTGGGCAAGTCACTTATCCTCTTTCTGTCTCAGTTTTCTCATCTGTAAAATGGGGATAATAACATCACTACTCTTAAGAGTTACTGTGAAGATAAAATGAGATATAAAAAGCACTTTGGAACTCCTAAACTTCCAAATAAATGTTAGTTATTATTTATCATCTCTGTACCTCTGTACTAGCTATCTTCTATGCCTGGCATGCTCTCCCTCCCCATCTCCACTTCTTACAATCTCTGGCTTCTTTAAATACTTTACTCAAATGTCACTTCCTGCAGGATGTTTTTCCCTCTGACATTATATATCTTGTATGTGCTTATTTATTTGTAAGCTCCCTCAATAAAATGTAAACTTCTTGAGGGCAGGAATTTTTTTGGCCTTCTTTGTGTCCCAAGCACTTAGTATGTTGCCTGGCATGTAGCAAGCACTACATAAATGCTTGTTGACTGACAAACTCTTACTCAATCTAAATATACTTTATGAATAGAAACACATAACTGATAGAATACTGAAAAGTTTACCATACCTCGCCTTCTAGTATTTGGGTGGCTACATCTCTGCCAGTTTTGGCTGGGATAAAGAGTGGTGTTGGTGGTCTGTCCAGAAATGCATCAGTTTGACATTCCATATCAACTTCTATTATGCGGTCAGCAAGCTCTTCTAGGTATAACTCTAAGAAAAAAATACCACAAACATTTATTAAGTTTTTGGCATACTCTAACATTAGGAGCATTATTTGAAATTTTAATGAATAAGAATATTATCCTTCAAATCAAAATGATCAAATGTGAGATCCAATTTAAAGACCCAATTAAGTTTTCATATATATATTCTAGGGGATGACATACTTAGTTTATGGTATTTATTAAGTTGTATGTGCTGAGCACTATAAAGGGGTTGTAGTAAGGGAAGATATAGTAGTAGATAGTTAATAATAGTAGTATAAGAGGCAAATATATAACGAAGGATGGGAAGTTAGCCAAATGAACATACAGGAATGCAGAACTAGCAGGTCCAATGTATAGAATTATGACAGATTTTCGACACTTTTAAAAGAATATCACTCATTAAGCTACCTGACGTTACCTTTTCTCCCTGGCCCTTAAATATATAAATTTGATCAAATCTTAGCTCAGAGAGATATAAGGCTCATTCTGGTATATGGTTCTCATAATGTGAATAAATTCCTAAAATTTAGCTTTCACAGGATGAAATGTCAATAAATTATCCTGGTAGAATTATAAGCACAGAGGTGATATGAGTACACTGAGTCTTAGTCTCTGATTTTGGGTTATGTGACACAGACCTGGGCTTTGAAGTGGGGAACTAAGGCACTCTGGTCAGAACAGGGTCTTTCCTCCAGAGGGAAGAGGATGATACATATAATCATTCGGTGACTGACGAATCAGAGATAGTGCTATTGAGCACCAAAGGGATTATATCACTCAGGGTGGTATATTATAAGTACCTGGGTTCTGTTTCCTCGAAAATGATGTGATTGTAAAAAGCGTAAGGTTGTTTAGTTAAGTCTCGAAAAGAAAACAGTGCAGTCCTGGTAGAACTGGTCAGCTCCTGTCACATGTGCTACGGCCACCCAAGATTCAGGACAAAAAATACTGAGTCAGGGTGGGGAACTTGTGGCCTGAAGGCCACAGGTGCCCTCTAGGTCCTCAGGAGCGGCCCTTTGACTGAATCCAAACTTCACAAGAACAAATTCCCTTAATAAAAGGATTTGTTCTGTAAAACTTGGGCTCAGTCAAAAGGCTGCACCCGAGGACCTAGAAGGCCACAGGTTCCAGTGCAGAGGCTGCCTTTATTAAATGTTAATAACATATTCACTGTAATCTTTATTTTAATAGCAGTAAATTATAATTAGTTATGCTCCCTGCAAGTATAATTAAGCTGGGATTCTCTTCTGTTCCTGGAAATACATAACTACACTGCAAGAGTTGGTATAGTACAATGAAATTTAAGGAACAGAATCTATTGTATTACTGGGAAGAGGTAAAGGAGAAGTGGAGAGATTATAGAATTAAAACCTCAATAGTTTTATAATTCTAGAAAGATATTTTTAAAAAATAGTTAATTTTTATTTTTCAACATTCACTTCCATAAGATTTTGAGTTTTAAATTTTCTCCCCCTTCCTCTTTTCTCCCCCCCCAAGATGGTGTGCAATCTGATATAGGCTCTACTTATACACTCATATTAAGCATATTTTCCCATTAATCATGATGAAAAGAACAATTAGAACTAATGGGAGGAAGCAAAAGAGTGAAGGAATAAAACAAAATAACAAAGGAAAAGGAGGGCAAATGGTATATTTCCATCTGCATTCAGATTCCATCGTTCTTTCTCTGGATGTGGATAGCATTTTCCATCGTGAGTCTTTTGGAGTTGTCTTAGATCCTTGCATTGCTGAGAAGAGCCAAGTCGATCAAAGTCAGTCATCTAGAAAGATATTTTTAAATGATCTCGTGTAATTTTCCTGAAAAACATTGCTTCTGTGCCTTTTTTTCAAGTTAATACTGTAATTTAAATTAGCTTTCTAAACTGTATGTTCTAGTTAGCATCTTCGTTTATAAGGGTCTCAAGTTTTTTTTTTATTTTGTTGCATATTCTGTTACTTCTGATTTGCTTTCCAGAATGTAAATTTTATTTCTCATATATTCTCTGCTTGTATCTGAAATTTCCATCACATTCTCCATATTGTTGATATTCATTCTCAATTTATCTTGTTCTCTTTTACTGATAGATTTCTCATTACAGAAAGAACCTCTCATTTCCTGCTTTTGAAAAAAATGTATCCTTTAAAAATTGATGGCATTGTTTTAACAAATTTTGTATTATTTATTGGAAAACTGACCAAGTACTAAGACATTAAAAGCCTCAAACCAAATGCAGAAAAATAGAAATAGCAAATACATCCTTTTCAGATCATAATGCAGTAAAAATTATATTCAATAAAGAGCCATGGAAACATAGATTAAAAATTAATTGGAAAGTAAATAATCTAATTCTAAAGAATGAGTGAGTCAAAGAACAAATCATGCAAACAGTCAATAATTTCATTAAAGAGAATGACAACAATGAGACAACATACTAAAATTAATGGGATGTGGGCAAAGCAGTGCTTAGAGGAAATTTTATATCTCTGAATGCTGACATTAATAAAACAGAGAAAGAGTAGGTCAATGAATTAGGTGTGGAAAAAAAAAACAACTAGAAAAAGGACAAATTAAAAATACCCAATTATATACCAAACTGAAAATCCTGAAAATCAAAAGAGAGATTAATAAAACTGAAAGTAAGAAAACCACTGAACTAGTAAGTAAAAGTAGAACCTGGTTTTATGGAAAAATCAATAAAATAGATAAACTACTGGTTAATTTGTTTTTTTTTTAAAGAAATTAGAAAACCAAATTACTAGCATCAAAAATGAAAAGGGTGAATTCATTACCAATGAAGATGAAATTAAAGCAATCTTTAAGAGCTATTTTGCCCAATTATATGCCAACAAATCAGACAATCTAGAGTGAGATGGATGAATATTTGCAAAAATATAAACTACCCAGATTAACAGAAGAGGAAATAGAATACTTAAATAACCTTATTTTTGAAAAAGAAATTGAACAAGTCATCAATGAACTCTCTAAGAAAAAATCCCCAGTACCAAATGGGTTCACAAGTGAATTCTGCCAAACATTTAACAAAATTAATTCCAATACCATATATAAACTACTTGGAAAAATAGGCAAAAGAAGTACATTTCCTTCCTTTCCCTTGATAAAAATTGTTTGTTTGTATCTTTACTTTCTATTTCTTTTGTTTTTTGCTCCAAATTACATGTAAACATTTTTAACTTTCATTTTTAAAATTTTTTGAGTGCCAAATTCTTTTCTCTCTTCCCTCCCCTTTCTTTGAGAAGGCATGCAATTTTATATTGGTTATACATGTTCAGTCACGCAAAACATTTCCATATTAGTCATGTTGTGAAAGACAATACAAAAAAAACCAGGAAAAACAGAGGAAGTTAAAAAAAAACATGCTTCGATCTGCATTCAGACACCATTAACTCTTTCTCTGGAGGTAGATGGCATTTTTTATCATGAGTCCTTTGAAAATGTCTTAGATCACTATATTGCTGAAAATAGCTGTCAATCACAGTTGATCATCATATGATACTGCTGTTACTGTGTGCAATGTTCTCCTGGTTCTGCTCACTTCATTTTGCATCAGTTTATGTTAAGTCCAGATTTTATTGAAAGCATCCTAATTATCATTTCTTATATCAGAACAGTATTCCATCATAATCATATACCACAACTTGTTCAGCCATTCCCCAATTGATAATCATCCTCTCAATTTCCAACTCTTTGCCACCACAAAAAGAATCACAATGTTTTTGTACATATAAGTCCTTTTCCTTTTTTTTTGGCTCTCTTTGGTATACAGACCTAGTAGTACTACTGCTGGATCATAGGTATGCACAGTTTTATAGCCCTTTGAGCATAGTTCCAAACTGCTCTCCAGAATGGTTGGATTAGTTCACAACTCCACCAACAATGCGTTAGTGTCCAAATTTTTCCACAACCCTTCCAACATTTGTCATATTCCTTTTCTGTCATATTAGCCAATCTGATAATATAAGATGGCACTTCAGAATTGTTTTAATTTCTACTTCTCTAATCAATAATGATTTACAGTACTTTTTTATATGACTATAGATAGCTTTGATGTCATCATCTGAAAACTGCCCCTTCATATCCCTTTGATCATTTATCAATTGGGGAATGACTCATATTCTTATATATTTGACTCAGTTCTTTAAGGTCTTTATCAGAGAAACTTGCTATACTTTTTTCCCTCAGTTATCTGCTTTCCTTCTAATCGTGGCTGCATTGGTTTTGTTTGTGCAAAAACCTTTTCATTTAATATAATCAAAATAATCCATTTTACATCCCATAATGCTTTCTATCTTGTCTGGTCATAAATTCTTCCCTTATCCACAGAACTGACAGGTAAACTATTCCATGTTACCCTAATTTGCTTATAGTATCACTCTTTTATATCTAAATCATGTACCCATTTTGACCTTACCTTGGTATACAGTGTGACATGTTGGTTTATACTTAAGTTTCTGCCAAACTTCTTTCCGGTTTTCCCAGTAGTTTTTGTCAAATAGTGAGTTCTTGTTCCAAAAGCTTGCATCTTTCAAACACTAGATTACTACAGTCATTTCCTGCTGTGTATTGTGCACCTAATCTTTCCACTGATCTGTCACTGTTTCTTAGCCAGCACCATATTATTTTGATGATTACTGTTTTCTAATACAGTTTGAGATCTGGTATGGTTAAGCCACTTTCCTTCACATTTTTTTTTCATTGATTCCCTTGGTATTCTTGACCTTGTATTCTTCCAGATAGTTTTTGTTACTATTTTTTCTAGCTCTATAAAATAATTTTTTGGTAGTTTAATTGGTATGGCACTGAATAAGTAAACTAATTTAGCTAGAATTGTCATTTTTATTATATTGACTCAACTTACCCATGAGCAACTAATATTTTTCCAATTGCTTAGATCTAACTTTATTTGTGTGAAAAGTGTTTTGTAATTGTATTCACATAGTTCTTGGGCTTGTCCTGGCAGGTAGATTTCAAGTATTTTATATTGCTTACAATTGTTTTAAATAGAATTTCTCTTTCTATCTCTTGCTGCTAGACTTTATTCATAATATATAAAAATGCTAATGATTTATGTAGATTTATTTTATATCCTGCAACTCTGCTAAAGTCGTTCATTATTTCCAACTAGTTTTTTAGTTAATTGGGTACTGGGGTTTTTTTCTTAGAGAGTTCATTGATGGCTTGTTCAATTTCTTTTTCAAAGATAGGGTTATTTAAGTATTCTATTTCCTCTTTGGTTAATCTGGCCAATTTATATTTTTGCAAATATTCATCCATTTCACTTAGATTATCTGATTTGTTGGCATATAATTGGGCAAAATAGCCCTAAAGATTGCTTTAATTTCATCTTCATTGGTGGTGAATTCACCCTTTTCATTTTTGATGCTAGTAATTTGGTTTTCTAATTTCTTTTTTTTTTTTCAAAACAAATTAACCAGTGGTTTATCTATTTTATTGATTTTTCCATAAAACCAGATTCTAGTTTTACTTACTAGTTCAATGGTTTTCTTACTTTCAATTTTGTTAATCTTTCTTTTGATTTTCAGGCTTTTCAATTTGGTGTTTAATTGGGGATTTTTAACTCGTCTTTTTTCTAGTTTTTTTTTCCCCACACCCAATTCATTGATCTGTTCTTTCTCTGTTTTACTGATGTCAGCATTCAGAGAGATAAAATTTCCCTTAAGTACTACTTTGGCCACATCCCATTAATTTTGGTATGTTGTCTCATTGTTGTCATTCTCTTTAATGAAATTATTGACTGTTTGTATGATTTGTTCTTTGACTCACTCATTCTTTAGAATTACTTTCCAATTAATTTTTAATCTATGTTTCCATGGCCCTTTATTGAATATAATTTTTGCTGCATTATGTATGATCTGAAAAGGATGCATTTGCTATTTTTGTTTTTCTGCATTTTAATGTCCTAATACATGGCTAGCTTTTGTGTAGTACTTCCATGTACTTCCAGTCCAGAATTTGTTTTGAGTTGTTTTTTTAACGATGTCTGAAGGGTAATTTGGGAAAGCACAAGCAATTCCCTGCCTTTATTCTGTCATCTTGGCTCTGCTCCCACCTTCACTTTTGTTTTCAAAAACTTCCTCAATTGCTTAGCTAACTTTTTCCACAGAATCTTAAGCCATTAGATCTTATTTCCCCTTTCCTTGAACATTATGAAACATGCTCCTCTAAAACCTAACGTTCCACACTGCTCTGCCCAACCCCTCGTGCTACGACTGGATTTCCCTTCCTCTTGTATAGTTCTAAGATGGAACAGGTTCTTCCCCTCCACTATTCCCATTAGTTCTACTTAGGCAACCAATTCCTCCTTGTTCCTTAAACCAGGCTCAGAACAGCATTTCCTCTTTCACTTCCTCTACTTTTCTGAAGAGTGAAATCATAATTAAAAGCAAGTCAAGAACTTATTAGCTGCTTTACGTTGGGTCAGAGTGAGCTCCAACAGATGTCCAGACGGTTGAAGTTCCACATCACTGAAATACCATGCTTTTGTAAATGTTTGTGATGTCTCCCAAATTCATCTGATTCTTCCTTCTGTCACTCCATTACTTTAAACGGTCAAGTGAGCAGTCCTTTGGAATGGCAGTCATCCTACTTCTCTCTGGCTCATGCCCCACTGTCTGCTCTTCTTCTTAAGTTGGGGGCTCTGAGCAAGTCTATTGGACACACAGCATTGACTGGACACAGCCTTTCCCAGAAAGACAAGGGGAAAGAGAAAAGCAAAGAGGCCAAGGCAAAAGGGCAGCCTAAACAAGTTACTGGGGTTTCATCTATTCATAACTAGAACAAAATTAAAGAATTAGAATATCATTCTAGGGGGCGGAGTCAAGATGGTGGAGTAAAAGCAGTGACTTGCTTGAGCTCTCCCCCAAATCCCTCCAAATACCTATAAAAATGGCTCTAAACAAATTCTAAAGCAGTAGAACCCACAAAAAGTCAGAGTGAAACAAATTTCCAGCCCAAAACAGCCTGGATGGTTGATCAGAAAGGTATATCGTGCCAGGCGGGGAAAAGAGTGCAGTTTAGCATTGGCACACAGGCCTCAGCGAACCTGGAGCAGGCCTCAGAGGACTAAATCATGGGCAGCTGTGGCAGATTCCAGACTTTTCAACCCATGAATGCCAAAGACATCTTAGAAGGTCAGAAGGAAAAGTCTCTGTCTACAGTGAGAGAGAAGCACAGGGTCCCAGCCCCATTCCCCAAGCACAGCCCTGGGGCAGCGGCTGTCTCTGGAGCTTCCAGCCTAACCCAAATGGCAAAAGAGGTTCAAAAAGCCAATGAGGAGAAGAATGCCCTAAAAAGCAAAATTGGCCAAATGGAAAAAGAAGTTCAAAAGCTTACTGAAGAAAATACTTCCTTAAAAATTAGAATAGAGCAATTGGCAGCTAGCGACTTTTTATGAGAAATCAAGACTATAAAACAAATCCAAAAGAATGAAAATTTTTCTCCCCTACTCTGACCAGCTAGCCCTACAATACTTAGTACAGTACTCTCTGCACACAGAAGACACTGAAAAAAAATGTTCATGACATGAATTTTAAGTCACCAGAGAAACGGTCTGTATATCAGATGCATGAATAATGTTGTAAACAGGCTAACATAAATTAAGGGGATAGAGTGTAAAAACAAAACAAAAACAGTGATTTTTTTTGAGGTGATATACCTGTCTGTACATCAACATGTTTTCTGCCTTCTACAGGTTCAGGACTTCTTAGTCGAAGATGTTCTCTGGCTCGCTTTCTGGCAAGAGCTTTTCTCTTGATCTCTTGCTGTCTTTGGAGTTCAATGGGATCGGGTTGAGTAGTCTGTAAAATGATGTAAAATTTTTGTTAACTTAGGATTAAAATAAGGTAAATGACAGGTCCTAGATTGTTTCCCCACTTCTCATCTTTCATTGATTAACCTGGAAGCCTAAATGGTAACCACTGGAAAGAATGCTTGCTTGAAAACTTGTCAAAACACAGTCTCCACCTGCAAGTCTGATTAACAGGCAGATTCTTAATAACTTTGGGTGAGCTGATATTCACACCCAAGCAGTAAGAGCCAATGACAGAGCAAATTAGAATGCTATATCAACTCCTCAATATTCCCTGACCTTGCTGAGGCCCAAGACTCCTTCCCACTTCTTAGCCCATGCTGCAGGCTTGCCACATGTGGTGTCCCATTCCCTTTGCAGCTTCCCTTTAGGTACTATTTTTACCCATTAAGCTCTTTGAAAGAAGGGACTGTCTCATTTGCTTGTTTAGTATCCTCAGCATCTGAAACATACTAAGAACTTAATAAATGAATCCCTCTCTTTTTCTTATTTATCTGACACTTACTAGCTGCGTGACCCTGGGAAAGTCAATTAACCTGCTTGCCTCAGTTTCCTCATCTGTAAAACAGGGATAGCACCTTCCCTCTAGGGCTATTGTGAGGATCAGATAAGATAATAATTGTAAAGTGCTTAGCACAGTGCCTGGCATGTAGTAAACACTACATAAATGTTAGCTATTATCTATCTATCTATCTACGGGTAGAAAATATCCCCACCAAGTATTAACTGGGAAAATGTATCAACATTTGTCCTCCACGTATCGAAGCCTAAAGTTTCTGATGGGGATTCTTCTGAAGTTAAAGAACAATGCAAGCAGAGCTATGACTAGACTGGGACAACCAGGCCTTTGGTGCAGTGTGCTGAATTAGGGTTTAGCACCTACTGACTTACCAAGATATTTTTAAAAAAGTAACTTACAGCCGCTGGGTGGAATCCCCCCCACCCCCATATGGTATCCTGGGGTCTCTGTCTCCTACATCTCCTGCCCAAATGAGCCCATATTTAATGTATTTCCTTGGGAATGGTTTCTGTTAGTTGTTCCAGGCAAAAAATAAAATGAATAAAAAATCTTGTTACAGTTCTGAATAAGAGGGCTTAGACTTGGGCAAGCTGATTTGTGTTTACAGGTACAATGTACAGTGACAGGTACAGTGAAAAAAGGGAATAATTTTAGTCAGAAGTCACCAGTGTGTACCACTCAAACTGTGATTTTTTTTTGTTGTTGTTTTTTGCTTTTTGATGAGGCAATTGGGCTTAAGTGACTTGCCCAGGGTCACACAGCTAGTAAGGGTTATGTGTCTGAGGCTGGATTTGAACTCAGGTCCTCGTGACTCCAGGGCCGGTACTCTTATCTACTGAGCCAGCTAGCTGCCCCCTCAAACTGTGATGTTGAAAGAACAGAATATCTTGGTAGATGAAGAAGACTCTTAAGCGCTTCCCCTTAGTGGCAATGGCCAAGCCAACAACAGAGAGGATTTTTTAAAAGCCTTTCTAGAATGTAAGTCCACTTTTTAGATGAATCAGAGCTATACTTGGAGATATCTGCAGGCAACAGTGGAGAACTTTGGAAAGAACAATAGAAATTTCTGGGAATACTCAGGAAACTAAAAGGGGAAGAGAGAGAGAGCTGTTTATTGAAAGACTGTTTTCTTCAATATACTAACAAAATTTTCTTTCCTCTAAGTGCTTATGTCTTAAAGCATATATCACAATTGAGGATGGAGATTAGAACACAGGCTGTCACCTCCCATGTGAGACAAGTCTGGACCTCATCAAGTATTTCTTTACTGATCTATAAAATGACTTATTTAGATTAGATGATGTCCCAGGTTCTTTCTAGCTCTAAACCCTATGATTCTATTTATAGTCAATTAGGTGATGATTTTCTCCAGATTTCCTGGGTAGGGGTTACAAGTCACTGAATAAAATTCCTAAAGTTTACCCAGGCCTTTTATGTCATCATGATCCCTAAAACAAAGGTTATAATTTGGGGGCTCATCTACTATTAAAACACATATCTTCTGCATTTGATGTAGTCATTCTTGGATAACACCCTTGTAAGCAAACTATGATAAAAATGGCAATATTATCCAAACTATTTTATAGATTTTTAATCAACATCAAAGTACCAAAGGGCTCATAACATTAGTGATAATTATGAAGGAAAAAAACAGGGGGACCTGTACTTTCAGATTTTATAATACAAAGTGGTAATTGTCAATAATACTGTCTTCTAAGAGGTTAAAAAAAAGTAGTTATATGTAAAAGAATAAGTAATACAAAATCAGAAGCAAAGACATATAGTAGACTAGCTTTTGATAAATCCAAAATTACTAAATACAGAAAATGGGAATTACTATTCAATAAAAACGGATGGGGAAATGGTATTTAGTTTTCACCTCACAACACATAACACCAAATGAATCAAAAACAGAAATATAAAAGCCCATCATTTAAGATTAGAAGATGGAGTGCAAGTGCTAAAAAGAATTCTTACAGATTATTTCAAAGAATAATTTTTCTCTATTACATTCTTATCTCTATTTAAATCTACATATTTATATGTGCAAAGACAAAGATACATCTTCTTCACCTCCCTGAAGAGCTAGCCCTTATAGCAAAGAAAAGGAGGGGGAAAATGGTCCAGAAAAACCAACCAACAAATCAACCAAGTCTGACAGTATTACATTCATTGTTCCACATCCACAGCATCTGCAAAGAAGGGAGGTGAATTTTCTCATTGCTTCTTTGAAGCTAGGTTTGGTCATGACAATTACAAAGCATTTTGTTTTCTTACCCTTTCCATCTACATTGATGTCATCACTCAGTATGTTGTTTTCCTATTTCTGCTTATTTCACTAACATTAGTTCATGTCTTCCCATACTTTCGTTTTTTTCACATTCATCATGTCTTATACCACATCAATATATCAGTATATTCATGAACCACAAAGTGTGAGTCATTCTCCAAACAATGGCTATCTACTTTATTTCTAGTTCTTCATTATTTCAAAAAATGTTGCTATATTTTGGTATATATAGGAACTTTCTTTTGAACAAGAACCTCCTTGTGGTATATGCCTAGCAAGTAGAGTCTCTGTGTCAGAGTAGGGACATTTTAGCTACTTTATTTGCATAATTCCAAACTGCTTTCCAAAAATGGTTGTACCAATTTACAGCTCCATCAACAATGTATCAGTGCGTCTATCTTTTGGAACTCCTCCAATGTTGACTATTCTTGTCTTTTATCATTTTTGCCAATTTACTGACTGTGAGATGAAACTTCATGGTTGTTTTGATTTGTATTTCTCTTCTTATTAAAGATTTGGAGCATTTTTCAGGAACCTACTTTGGCAAAAATAAAATTTAGATCACTATCTTATGCAATTTGACACAATAATGAATAACTAAAGTGAATACACAGGACTGAACATTAGAGGGCATACGATTCATTAGAAAAAAAACTAGAAGATAACTGGAGAGGGAAAAAAATCCTATCAAATTTCTTGGGAAAAGGTTTGATATATGAAATAACAGACAACTATCAGAAATGTATATATTTATGTATACACACACACACACATAATCAAAAGCCATTTCCCAGTAGGTAAGTGGTCAAATGAAATGAAGAAATAGTTCTCAAAAGAACTGTAGACTACTAACAATCACATGAAAAATGTTGTTGTGATTTCACCTTGCTCATTTGCTATTTTTTTGATTTGAAAGTTAACAATTTTACTTAATCTTTTTGAAGAATCAGCTTTTTTTTTTATCATTTTCTATGTTTGTTTTGGTTTCCAACTTATCTATTTCTCTGCTAAGTGTTAATATCTTCTCTTTTGTGCTTATTTTAGATTCATTTGTTGGCTTTCTCTAATTTGTTAAAATGCATATTCAGTTCATTAATCCTCTTTTTTTCTTTTGTTAATACATGTTTATAAGGATATGATTTTTCCCAAGATTTGCTTTATCTACATCCCAGAAACTTCAGTGTGCTGTTTCATCATTATCATTTTCTTTCATATAATTATTGTTTCTTTGACCCATTTATTTAGGATTTCATCATTAAGTTTCTATTTGGGTCTGTCTTTTGTTTGTGGTCCTTGAAACAATTACTATTGTTATTGTGTTGTGGGTTATAAAAGATGTATTTAATATTTCTGCCTTTTTACATTCCTTTACAGTATCTTTGTGCTCTAATACATGGACATTTTTTTAAGTTCTATGTGGTGCTAAGAAATATGAATATTATTTTGAAGTCCCATTGAGAAGATGCCATAAATCTTTTAGTTCTAATTTCTCTAGCAATTTCATTCCGTATTTTTCCTTCTGTTTATTTTTCCTTTGGACTTATCTAGAACTCAGAAAGGGACACACAATTCCTGACAAAATCGTGTTACTATCTATGTCTTCTTGTAGCTTAGTTAATGTGTTTTTTATGAATTTGGATGCTAAGGTATTTAGAGTGTCTAAGTTTATCACTGATATTGGGCTTTGTTTATGGTTTCTTTCAACATGATACAGTTTCCTTGTTTAACTCTTTTTATTTTTTTTAAAGTTTGTATTTGTTTTGTCAGATAACATGACTGAAACTCTTACTTTTTTGGATTCACTTGATACACAGCAATTTTTTTCCCCCAGTCCCTTTGGTTTTCCTGTGTGTGTCTCTTTTTAAAAGGTGTTTCTTGTAAGCAATAGATTGTAGGATTTTGTTTTCCTAATCTGTCACTCTTTTTCATTTTATTGGATTGTTTAATTCACTCATATTTAAAATTATAAGAGTTAGGTTTATATTTTCCTCCATTTGTCTCTAATATTAGGTTTTTTTCAATTTATGATTTTTCCCCTATTCCATTATAAACACAGAATTATGTCTCTCCAGTTGCTTTAGCTTAATCTTTTTTTTTTTATAAAAGCCCTATTCCCATTGGTTCTCTTCCCCTCACCCTTGATCTCCTCTCCCATTTGTTGACCCCATTTTTGTGTTCC